CAACTGTCATTGAGTGACTTCTGACCATGCCTTCTAAATGAGCCTAATAGCTTCAAAAATATTGAATTTTTCTTTCCAAAATGTTTTTAATGTCATCTTTGAAGAGAACTTGCATGCTTCAAAACACAGATGAAACAGTGCTCAAATGTACAATTTCTTAAAACCTGCAATAACCTCCTGATTCATTGGCTGAATCAACGAAGTTTATTCAGAAGCAGAAACTGAACTGTCAGCCAGGGAAAGTCTTCCAGCAAATTATCTTCAAGGTCTTTTGGGTGTCCTGGTGCATTATCCAATAGCAACAGTGCTTTCAATGGCAATTCATTGGTCTGAAGGTAATCCTTGATGCTTGGTGTACAAACTTCAAATAGCTATTCTTTGAAAAGAGCCTGTGTGACCCCATGCCCTTTTATTTGATCTCCACGTCCCTGGCAGTCTTTCTTTAATTATGGAATTTTTTTAAATGCTCTAGGGTTCTCAGAGTGATAGACAAGAAGCAGGATAACCTTCATATCACCACTAGCATTAGCTCCCAAAAGTAACAGCAATTTGTCTTTCATGGGCTTGTGCCCAGGAATATTTTTCTTGTCTTTTGTGATGGGATTCATGGTTTGGCATGTGCTTCAAACATTTCTCTAGCTTTCTCTTGAATGAAAGTCATACTAATTACATCACTTTTTTTTAAATCCAAACTAAAAGCAATCTCTTCATTTTTTTCATGGATCTTTGTTTCTCAGATGTGATTTTCATTACTCCTTTAGCTGCTTGAGTTTTCTTGATTATATCTTTCTTTGATTGTATCTACTGTAGACCTGTTCAAGCCATACTGCCTAGCAACATCAGACATTTTCTGCCCACTCTCTACCTTGGTTATTATCTCTTGCTTGGTTTCTATGGTGAGCAGTGTTCTTGACACTCCACTATTTTTAGACTCCACAATATTATCAGTTTCTTTTTTAAATAAAAAGTTCAGAAAAGCACTTACAAAATTCAAAGAACAGAAATCAGCTAGTGCACAAAGAAATTATTTAAATGTGAGGCCTGGACAGAATTCGAAATTTGCTGTTAAAACATTAATGAATATCTGATGGGACAGTTAAACTCTCCCCTTTTGAAAATAAAAACTGATGCAAGTAAAACTTAACAAGTGCTCGACACTCTCCAAAGAGTATAAAAAATTATTTCTGTGAGAAAGGCAAACAAAAGGCTGAAATTACAAGGGAAAGTTTCAAAGTTCGGAGGAATAATATCCAATTGGTACCAAGTTGAGCACCAATGGTCGATGTTTCCCACACTCCGAAAGGTTTCAAATTGTCATCTGGTGACAAGGGACCACCAATCAATATTCATTATTTTACGTCGCATCTTCTTGTGTTTTGTTCTGTGAGGTGTTTGTTATCTGAACGTGAGTTCGTTGTCTGAACATAAATATCTTTTGAGAAAGTGTTTGTTGTCCAATTTGTTTGCAGTCTGAACTGAACCCACTGTAATTAGCATGGGCAACTTCAACTACTCTCTTGATTTCTTGCCTCGTAGCAATATAGTGCATCATGCCCTCAATGCAATATAGTGCATTTCTTGTTTTTTTTTTTTTTTTCAAACAAAAGACAAACTAGGTCTTAAAGGCTGCTTTCTTTTTTCACACTTTATTCTGTACTTCTGCATTGCCTCAAGAGAGGCAGCTCCATGGGTGTTCTTCCATATTATATGATTTTATATATTCTGTTTTCAAATGGGCCATGTCCCATATTTTGTAAATACTGGTAAAATTAAAAAATGGAGTTCACAGATGCCATGGGTCCCACTTTACACTTTCCTATCATTCGTTTCTTTCCTTTCCTCTTCTCACTTCCTCTAAAACTCTTTTCCCTTCCTTTTCAAAGGCTATGCCTTATAGTTTGGCCTTCTACACCTTTATAGTTTTGTAATGTACTTCTGCAGTTCAGATCCATGCCTGGCCATCAATATGTTGACAAGTGCCAAGGATTTTCCTCACAGTAGAAGTAATAGATTTACAAATTTTATTCCATATTAAGTTAATTGAAGCAGTATTAATTTCTGGGAGGGTGATATGAATGGCTATAAAAACTTTGTGTTTAAATTGTTTCCACTATTATTGCAGCTAGTCTTTTTACTTTGTTTTCCTTGTGCTGTTTGGCAAGTGTCAAGTCAAGAATTAGCAGTTTATGCTGTGGGGCTAGGTGTTCTGATGGAATAATCTTTGCATCTTTGATGATATTTGCAAAGTCATAGTAGATTAGCTTATATCCCTCACCAATGTGATGTGAGTGACATTGTGTTTTCTGTAAGCAAGTATTGTCCACTCGCCATTGTTTAAGCATTTTTGCAAGTTCATAAGTACATCAAGTACGTGTTTCAATATTCAGTATGAAAATACAGATTGATTTTGGTTGAACCAATTTCCTTGGTTTATTCTGCTCTTGTTTTGTAATAATTAAAGCATATTGGGCTAATGTTTTTAGCTAACCCTGCTCTTTGGTCAGTAACTCTTGCCAGTTGTTCTTACTGGTTGGGTGAGGCTAGTGTGCATTGTTTCCAGGAGACCTCTGTTTTCTTTGAGAACTTTGGTTTTGAATCCATTATCCAAGATGCAACAAGGAATGTAATGACTGACTTGTCACTGTGATCTGTCATCACTGTCTGCATTCAGCTTACACCGTCTTTACAGGTGGGCAGTTTCCAATGGCATTATGTGGAGGCATGGAGTTTCCACAATTGAATTACAGTATTCACACAAAAACCTTTGTTTTCAGCAAAACAGTTTAATTTAAAATGTTTTCAGTCTTTTTTTAAAGGCCATCTTCAGGTAAAATACAGAATTGAACTAAAAAAATGAATAGAATATAACATAAAACTAAATCAAACGATTGCCGTTATTAATCCAGTTATTTTATAATTTTCTACTATCTGATTTTATTAAATATAAAATATCCTGATTAATAAGAGTGATCATTTGGTTTAATATTAATACATCAGGCTTTGGAATGTTTATATATATATATAAAAGCTTTGGAACAGTGAATGCTGATTAATTTAAATTGAAACAAAAAAACAAAATAAAATAAATGATAAATACAAATATAAATGAAGAAATAAATAAATAAAAAATAAAAATACTTTATATTTCTTATGTATTATTTATTAAATGTGTATAGCAAAAATATACTGTCTATAGCAAAGTCAATGCAGCATTGAATAAATGAAGCCTTGCAAATTGCATGTAGTTTAGAGTGCACTACAAGCTGTGTTTGATTTTTGTAGTGTTATAGCATTATATATTATAGTGGCCAGTAAGTTCCAGCATTAACTTTAAACAGGCAACTGAAAGCTAAGGATACATTTGTATGAAATGCATAGTATCACAACTACAAACCCATAACCTTATATAATAGAATTTCCTTTTATAAATATCACAAAAATTCCTTACTAAATACTTGAGTGAATTGATCAATCAGCCATTTGTGAAAGCATTTCTTGGTAGGTTATTTATCCATTTGGTTAAGTGTTTGCGAGTTTCTGAACAAAGTTGAAAGATTTGCATTGACTCAATGATTCTAAATAATAAGATTTATGGAAATATCATATGGATAGTTTATTATGGGTCACCAATAAATCAATGTACAAAATCTTGATTTTTAGATGAACCTCCATAACTGGAAACTTTTCAACTCCAAATTTTAAGTTCAAATTTTTTTCCCAATTGAACAAAGTTAATCAGATACCTTTCAGTTTATAAAGTTTCTTAAGAAAGTTTATATCTAGTAAAGATTACTTATATATTTAAACACTGAAATTAAGAAATTAGTGTGATATTAATTTATATAAAGTATTTATCAAAATACTTTTTTAAAGATTATAAAATTCAATTTTGGTTTAAATTACAAAAAAGGTAAAAAAAAGTTTTTTCAAGTATTAATTATCTTGTCAGGTTTGCATTAATTCTTAGCATTATCTGAAGTGATGCTTTCTAAGTCTACTGAAATGCCAAACAAGACCAAATACCATAGACATGTTTTCACATGCCAACCAATTTTTGTTTAAAATAATCTTCAAGCAACTGGTTAAATAATCAAAAATAATGCTCACCAATGCCAAAATTATGGTATATATGGATGAAAACATTAGTTCACAGTAAAATTTTTGAATTTTGCTGGATTTTGGTGTTGGTGAGTGTTATTTCAGTTTTTGCTTAATTGAATTTATTTCTGTTAGTGTTTTTTGTCTTCTTGTCTATAGATCTTTTCAAATTTAACAGAAACAACTCAAGTCAAGATGCTAAATGGTCAAAGAAATTAATAGGTTGTCAATAATTAGTTTGCTAATGGATAAACAAAGCGTTTCTCAAGAAACAGTATAAACTGGAAGTGATGGTAATTATTTGGCTACATTTTACATCATTTGCTTAGCTACAATACATACATTGTCAGGCTATATCAAACAATATTTAATCTGTTATATAATTTATGTTGGTGTTCCAGAGGTTTGCAAAACAGGAATGTTTTTGATTATTTATTTACTAATATCAATGCCATATTAAATCCTTGTTTAAATTTAATTATGATTCATACTTCATACATAAAAGTCAATTGTGTGTTTATATATATATATAAACACAATTGACTTTTATACTGTGTAATGAATGCATTTTGTAAATGTGCAGATTCTTTGTTATACAAAAATTCATTTTGAGAATGCAACTATAGTGGATTAAAAAATGCATTTTTTCTACATAAAAATTCATTGTGTATGACTTTGTAATATGGAAGCTGTACATAACTGTACATAAATTATCATTATTTAAATACTTACTTTTATATAGACAAATTTATTATACAATTATTAATTATTAAATATTATATTAAATTTTACAAATATTTATTTTAATATTGATCTTTCAAAAAGAAAATTATAAATAACTTAATAAAAATCTTATTGAAACTAAAAACAATATTTCTAAGTTTATAAATAATTTATTACAGGAAAGAGGAGGAAGTGATGTTTTTATTCATGATGGTCTTGCACTTAAATATAAATTAGATAACGAATTTGAACTTATATATGTTGTAAGTATTTTCATTTCAAATGATTCTTTTAATTTATTTAAATTACTAAAACAAGAACAAAATTTCAATAGGTAGCATATCAGAAGATTCTTCAGTTATCTTATATTGATAAGTTCTTGGATGATATTCATTTAGAATTCAGAGACAAATTCAGAAAAGAACTTGAAGAAAGTAATTTTTTTTCTAATTTTGAGTTTGGATGTGAATATAACAAAGTAAGTAATCTGATTTTTTACAATTTATTATAACTTTAGGTTAATATATTTACTTTTGATATATTTTGAATTAGATTTTAAAAGAATCTGAAGAGTATGGTCGTATTCAAGCAAATCAGCCGAAGAAAATGAGGACTTTTCAGGAATCACATAAATCTAAAAAAACAGTTGCTTCTATGATTGAAAATAAAAATGAAATTAAAGTTCCATCAAAAGGAAAAGATAGCTCTAAGAAGAAAGAAGATGGTTTGTTTGTTTGATTTTTTTTTTTATCACTAAAAGAAATATTTTATTAATTAAAAATGTTAAGCCATGCATTGTAACAGACATGACTTCATCCAAAATAAAACATAAACACCAAGAAAGTAAATGCTGTTGTGATCTAAAGTTGAGATAATGTCTCAAAAACATTTGAATAAATGGTTTGTTTTTTACTATAAATGCTGTAAGAAAAAACAACAGAGATAATATATTTTTAAAAATTGACGAAAGCCTATTAATTAATTAATTAAAGTAAAGAAGTAATAGTATATCTGTTAAATCATTTTTACAGTTTTCTTGTACAGTAATCTTTATAGACATATTTCAGGGAACTAGCAGAATGCACATTTATCATATATTAAAAAATATTAGATAAATTGTATAAATTGATAAAGGTGTTATTAAATACAGTACATCATTTAAACACTTCTTCACAGAAAGGGGTGAAAAGAATGAGCCATTATCTAAGTCTACTTTTGTCATTTTGTTTTCATTGATATGCTTTTTAACAATGCTGTTAAAAACTTGGCTTATTTTTTCAATTCAACAAAAAATCAAACATAATGTAATGAATGGCTATTCAGGTTTTGACTCAGATATTATATTTGTTTTCAATTAAATAATTAATTATTTGATATGTTTAAATGTAAAATGTTAGTTTTGTTAATGTAGTTAGAATAAATCAGTGTTGTTGAAACTATTTAAGGCATTTTTTTTTTAATGTATTTGTCTTAATGTTGAATTAATCCATTTTAATGCTAGAAGTTTTGCAAAGATCATACATATATATTTTTTATTATTATTTTTGATAGATTTCAAGTTAGGGAGATACTGCTTGACCTAATTATATTTTAATGTTTTGTTAATTAAAATTACAATTTATTAATAGTATATTAATGTGTTTATAACTATAACTAGGGTTTTTGAGTCTTGACTATTTTTAAATTCCTTGGACTCTGGATTTTCTTTTCTTTTTAAGTCTTCAAAATTTCCAGGACCACATAATTTGTCTTAAAAATACTCTTCAGCTAGATTCATCATATTTCAACATATTATCATTTTAATATATTTATGCAATTAACTAAATATAGGTTTTAAATTAAATTAAAAAGTTCTATTGTAACAGATTTTATGTTGAATTATATTGACAAAATACAAATTTAAACAAAAAATTTATGAAAATGAACATGTTTCAATTGCAAACAAGATGTTTACAGTAGACTCTTCCACATTTGATTCCTCCATATCTGTACTCTCCCTATCCAGACTGATCAAAAGCAACCAAACGTTTTGAAAATATTGTAAACTACTCTGACTCTTACCTTTTCGTACTGCAGTGTGTACATTTTTTAAATTTGTAGAATAACGCAATGCATCAACCACTTCTGACTTGACGATGAGGTATTGGTGTGATGTAGCAGCTAGTCAGCAAATTGAGAAAAACAAATAACTTTAACACAGTACTTTATAAATTATTTCTAATTGTAAAAACTAAGTATCAAAGTCAAACATCTTTATAATGTACTGTACAGTACATACAGTAGGCATATATGTTAATCTTATTTAAAAATTCTCACACTCTTATCTGTATTTTTCTAATATCAAGATAACTCCCACCCACATTAGTTTGGACAATTGTTTTATGTATAATTTTAAATTTATGTACTTCTAACAAATTAATTAATTTTATTTATAGTAAACAAAAATGAAGTTCCTTCAAAAATTGTATTACAAGATACAACTAATGAGAAATGTAATGTAGAGTTGCAAAGATCTGAAAATGAAGAAGAAAGAATTATCCAGAATAGACAGAAATTATTTGAAAGACATCAATCAAAAGGAAAAAAGCAAGATAAAGTGTAAGCAAATAATATCAAAAGACATTAGAATTAAGTTTTATTTTTATAACAGTTTAATAAATTTAAATAATAATTTGTGATTGTATATTTAGAAAGAGTCCCAAACCTGTAAAAGATAAATCAAAACAACCAAGAGTATGGGAGCTGAGTGGAGCAAAAAATATTCCCACTCTAGACTTCAGCAAGAAGGATGCAAATGAAAGTAATGGAAATATGAACAAAGATGATTTCTTATCTGATGAAACAGTAAGTATTTCAATTTACACTCTATTTTTAAAACCCTTTTTAAATAATTTAAAAATGTTACAGAGAAGCTGGGTTGGTAAAATGAAAGGCAATGTGCAGGGTATGGAATATTCTAGTGAGGAAGAAAGTGATGAAGAGGAAAAAACTGTCCAATCCAAATCATCTAAGTAAATGTTTGATTTGAATCTATTTTCATTTTATATAAAAATTTACATTATTCTTATTAAAAGAATTTAAATATTAACAGGAAAAGTAAAGCTGGTGGTGTTTTCAGCATGTTCCAGAGTCTAGTAGGATCAAAAAGCATATCTGTAGAAGACATGAAACCCATATTAGATAAACTGAAAGATCATATGATTGGTATTTTATCCATTTTATATAAAATTTATCAATTTTAAATATCACTTTACATGAAATTTATACAATTCAGCCAAAAATGTTGCCACGGATATTGCTGAGAAACTTTGTGAATCTGTATCTGCTAAATTAGAAGGAAAAGTACTTGGTACTTTCTCAGGAATAGCATCTACAGTTAGAAATACCCTAACTGAATCTCTTATTCGATTGCTTTCTCCAAAGAGGCGAATAGATGTTCTCAGAGACATTATGGAAGCTCAAACTCAGCACCGTCCATATACTATAGTCTTTTGTGGAGTTAATGGAGTAGGAAAGTCAACTAACCTTGCTAAGGTATTTGATTTTTGAAACTTTTTTTATAGGAATGGATTTTTATTTATAAAACAGTATATTTCAATAATTATCAATACTTGTTTAGTTTATAGATTTGAAATAGATGCAAACAGTTAACAATAACTTCCATTAAATTGATTGTATTAAATGACAATTCAGTCGATATATGAAATGTATTTTGCAATTTAATTATATTAGATTTAAACTTTTTACTAATACTTTACTATAATTTTTAATGTAATGCAATCATATTGGGATATACTAACTAAAGTACAATCTATTCAGTGCTGTCTAGAAAAATATTTAGCATTCTAAATGTAATCAGTTCTAGATGTGGTGACATTTTATGATATGAATACAATTTTGTTTAAAAAAAATTATACTGAAATGCACCACTATAGCAATTTTTGTAATTCAAGTAACAAAAAGATAGTTTTTATTTGCATAAACATGTGTTACACCAGGTTCTGGGTATAAAAGTGGCCATAATTGTTGAATGTCATTTTTATTAGTTACAATGATTATCATCTTGTTATAAAGTACATTTCTTGTGAATCTGTTTTATGAAAAGAGTGGCAATGCTTTGGCTGTGCTTCAAGAATTTCATTGTCATTAGAATTTACTCCAAGACATTTATTGACTGACTCCACAAGCTCTCAGGAGAAATGATTATTTGATTTGAGAAAACTGGCTATCTCTGAGTTTAACTTGATCGAGAGTACAAACCTAACACTTCATAAGCATTGAAGATGTTACTACAGCTATTGTTGTTAATGTTGCAGACTTTAATAGTGCATTGCAGTACCACAGTAGTTGGTGTATTCTTTGGTTCAGTGTGAAAGATACTAAGAAAGTTGATGCATTGTCATGTCATCCATATAGGATCAGCTACAACCAGAAGTTGTTTGACATTGATGGGGAAATTCAACTGACCTTTGTATTAACCTTTCTTGCCAGAATGGAAGGGGATGTACAGTCGACCCCCCTATAATTACGGTCCCAATAATTACGATTCCTATAAAACTGCAAAAAAAATTGTGACAGTATCCGTAAAAGACAGTAAAAAAAACCCCTATAATTACGTTAAACGTCATCGGGCAGCCGAACTACTTTCCTGCCGTCCGTAGCATCACGCTACGGAGAGATTTCTATCGTCTGGACAGTATTATATAAATTATATATAAATTAGGTACTGTACATATAATTATATATTAATTATATATAAATTAGGTACGGTATATATAATTATATATTAACTTATTGTAACTTTGTTATAATTAAATATATAATTTCCGCCATCTAGCGTGGCGTCACGCTACGGAGATTTTTACGCTAACTATCATCTGTACAGTATGTAAATTAGGTACCATAAGTCTAATACAGTACTGTAATTTTATACATTTCTTGTGAAAGAAACATTTCTTATTCAATGGCGATTTAAAATTATTTATATTAATGATGTCTCCGAAGTTCAACAAAGTTTTCGCAGAAAAATAAGTTATCAGAAATCAGCCATGGTTTGGTGTGCTGCTTCGCGACAAAAACAAGCTTTAGCAATGGGGTTGTCGAATGGTGCATACTCGGTAAGTAATCCTACAATTTTTTGTTTATAGCGTAATTTATACGGATTATTTCCAAAAAATATATACGTATTTTGGAAATGTTGAGTCTGATTAGTCTAGAATCGATTAATTTTATGGAAGAAAACCTTTCAATCAGCCGTAGTCCATAAACTTTACACGTGTCAGGCTGTGATTGGAACGACTTGTAAGAAATCGGATTCCTAAAAAATGGAACGTATCTATGATCTTATAGGGGGGTCGACTGTATTGTGGCCATGAAAGATCCTATGGAGAAACAAGGAATCATCTCATGGAACAGTTACTATACCTAACTGTTGCATTTGGACCATGGAAAACATGAGCATTTTCCAAAAGATTTCACTGAGCCATATTTATCTTTGGATCATTCTTCTTTGAAGAAGCTAGTCTTGATGGGCTTGTGACATACTCTATGACAGCCCAGAGATATCATGAGATGCTTAACACTCATAACCCAACTGCAATAGTGACATTGCCTTAAATCAACCACTTTTGTGCAGTACAGTATGCCTTAATGTATTGTGTACAGCAATTTGTCACATTTCACTGATAAGAGTGATTAGTCATTTGTTATCTACTACTTTGCTACTTCATTCTCTGGTTCTTAATATATATATAGCTTTTGATTGTGGGAACACTTAAAAAATTATGGTTTATTGAGGATATGTTGAATAAGCATATGAAAAGTTTTCCTAAACCAAACTAAACTTTTTGTGTATATCATTCCCGTTTGCACATAGTGTAGCAATTTTCAGGTCTTTTTCCCCTTTTTGTTGTAATAGAAACTGAGTAAAAAATAATTTTTAGTCTTCAATTTTTCTTCACTTTATGAACACTTTTAAAAAATTTTTTAAACTATGGTATCATTTTACATCTGAAAAAAATTTTAAAATTTTTAGTGAATTCCAAATCAAAAAGAAATTTAAATACATCTTTCTCATCTGAAAATTTGACAATACTCTGTCCATTTTTATTTTTCTGCAAATGTTTCCAAAAGCTGATTAAAAAAATGTTTAAGATTTGAACAATAGTTAAAATTTGAATTTTCTTTTTTAATAATCATTAATTTTGCATAAATCTTGTACAAATAAAGTTTTGTTGCTTGCAATGCCAAAAATGCCATAGTGGTTTCGGTACAAAAATTTTTTATGAACATGTTTTCTGCATGTTACCATACCAGATTTGGTGTCATTTGAACTGTTAAATATCTCTGTAGACAGAGTTGAATAGAGATACAGTAGAGCCTCGATTATCCGACTCAATTGGGGACTGGGGTTGGTCGGATAATTGAAAAGTCGGATAACCGAAAAGTATGAAAAAATCCNTATATCTAGTAAAGATTACTTATATATTTAAACACTGAAATTAAGAAATTAGTGTGATATTAATTTATATAAAGTATTTATCAAAATACTTTTTTAAAGATTATAAAATTCAATTTTGGTTTAAATTACAAAAAAGGTAAAAAAAAGTTTTTTCAAGTATTAATTATCTTGTCAGGTTTGCATTAATTCTTAGCATTATCTGAAGTGATGCTTTCTAAGTCTACTGAAATGCCAAACAAGACCAAATACCATAGACATGTTTTCACATGCCAACCAATTTTTGTTTAAAATAATCTTCAAGCAACTGGTTAAATAATCAAAAATAATGCTCACCAATGCCAAAATTATGGTATATATGGATGAAAACATTAGTTCACAGTAAAATTTTTGAATTTTGCTGGATTTTGGTGTTGGTGAGTGTTATTTCAGTTTTTGCTTAATTGAATTTATTTCTGTTAGTGTTTTTTGTCTTCTTGTCTATAGATCTTTTCAAATTTAACAGAAACAACTCAAGTCAAGATGCTAAATGGTCAAAGAAATTAATAGGTTGTCAATAATTAGTTTGCTAATGGATAAACAAAGCGTTTCTCAAGAAACAGTATAAACTGGAAGTGATGGTAATTATTTGGCTACATTTTACATCATTTGCTTAGCTACAATACATACATTGTCAGGCTATATCAAACAATATTTAATCTGTTACATAATTTATGTTGGTGTTCCAGAGGTTTGCAAAACAGGAATGTTTTTGATTATTTATTTACTAATATCAATGCCATATTAAATCCTTGTTTAAATTTAATTATGATTCATACTTCATACATAAAAGTCAATTGTGTGTTTATATATATATATAAACACAATTGACTTTTATACTGTGTAATGAATGCATTTTGTAAATGTGCAGATTCTTTGTTATACAAAAATTCATTTTGAGAATGCAACTATAGTGGATTAAAAAATGCATTTTTTCTACATAAAAATTCATTGTGTATGACTTTGTAATATGGAAGCTGTACATAACTGTACATAAATTATCATTATTTAAATACTTACTTTTATATAGACAAATTTATTATACAATTATTAATTATTAAATATTATATTAAATTTTACAAATATTTATTTTAATATTGATCTTTCAAAAAGAAAATTATAAATAACTTAATAAAAATCTTATTGAAACTAAAAACAATATTTCTAAGTTTATAAATAATTTATTACAGGAAAGAGGAGGAAGTGATGTTTTTATTCATGATGGTCTTGCACTTAAATATAAATTAGATAACGAATTTGAACTTATATATGTTGTAAGTATTTTCATTTCAAATGATTCTTTTAATTTATTTAAATTACTAAAACAAGAACAAAATTTCAATAGGTAGCATATCAGAAGATTCTTCAGTTATCTTATATTGATAAGTTCTTGGATGATATTCATTTAGAATTCAGAGACAAATTCAGAAAAGAACTTGAAGAAAGTAATTTTTTTTCTAATTTTGAGTTTGGATGTGAATATAACAAAGTAAGTAATCTGATTTTTTACAATTTATTATAACTTTAGGTTAATATATTTACTTTTGATATATTTTGAATTAGATTTTAAAAGAATCTGAAGAGTATGGTCGTATTCAAGCAAATCAGCCGAAGAAAATGAGGACTTTTCAGGAATCACATAAATCTAAAAAAACAGTTGCTTCTATGATTGAAAATAAAAATGAAATTAAAGTTCCATCAAAAGGAAAAGATAGCTCTAAGAAGAAAGAAGATGGTTTGTTTGTTTGATTTTTTTTTTTATCACTAAAAGAAATATTTTATTAATTAAAAATGTTAAGCCATGCATTGTAACAGACATGACTTCATCCAAAATAAAACATAAACACCAAGAAAGTAAATGCTGTTGTGATCTAAAGTTGAGATAATGTCTCAAAAACATTTGAATAAATGGTTTGTTTTTTACTATAAATGCTGTAAGAAAAAACAACAGAGATAATATATTTTTAAAAATTGACGAAAGCCTATTAATTAATTAATTAAAGTAAAGAAGTAATAGTATATCTGTTAAATCATTTTTACAGTTTTCTTGTACAGTAATCTTTATAGACATATTTCAGGGAACTAGCAGAATGCACATTTATCATATATTAAAAAATATTAGATAAATTGTATAAATTGATAAAGGTGTTATTAAATACAGTACATCATTTAAACACTTCTTCACAGAAAGGGGTGAAAAGAATGAGCCATTATCTAAGTCTACTTTTGTCATTTTGTTTTCATTGATATGCTTTTTAACAATGCTGTTAAAAACTTGGCTTATTTTTTCAATTCAACAAAAAATCAAACATAATGTAATGAATGGCTATTCAGGTTTTGACTCAGATATTATATTTGTTTTCAATTAAATAATTAATTATTTGATATGTTTAAATGTAAAATGTTAGTTTTGTTAATGTAGTTAGAATAAATCAGTGTTGTTGAAACTATTTAAGGCATTTTTTTTTTAATGTATTTGTCTTAATGTTGAATTAATCCATTTTAATGCTAGAAGTTTTGCAAAGATCATACATATATATTTTTTATTATTATTTTTGATAGATTTCAAGTTAGGGAGATACTGCTTGACCTAATTATATTTTAATGTTTTGTTAATTAAAATTACAATTTATTAATAGTATATTAATGTGTTTATAACTATAACTAGGGTTTTTGAGTCTTGACTATTTTTAAATTCCTTGGACTCTGGATTTTCTTTTCTTTTTAAGTCTTCAAAATTTCCAGGACCACATAATTTGTCTTAAAAATACTCTTCAGCTAGATTCATCATATTTCAACATATTATCATTTTAATATATTTATGCAATTAACTAAATATAGGTTTTAAATTAAATTAAAAAGTTCTATTGTAACAGATTTTATGTTGAATTATATTGACAAAATACAAATTTAAACAAAAAATTTATGAAAATGAACATGTTTCAATTGCAAACAAGATGTTTACAGTAGACTCTTCCACATTTGATTCCTCCATATCTGTACTCTCCCTATCCAGACTGATCAAAAGCAACCAAACGTTTTGAAAATATTGTAAACTACTCTGACTCTTACCTTTTCGTACTGCAGTGTGTACATTTTTTAAATTTGTAGAATAACGCAATGCATCAACCACTTCTGACTTGACGATGAGGTATTGGTGTGATGTAGCAGCTAGTCAGCAAATTGAGAAAAACAAATAACTTTAACACAGTACTTTATAAATTATTTCTAATTGTAAAAACTAAGTATCAAAGTCAAACATCTTTATAATGTACTGTACAGTACATACAGTAGGCATATATGTTAATCTTATTTAAAAATTCTCACACTCTTATCTGTATTTTTCTAATATCAAGATAACTCCCACCCACATTAGTTTGGACAATTGTTTTATGTATAATTTTAAATTTATGTACTTCTAACAAATTAATTAATTTTATTTATAGTAAACAAAAATGAAGTTCCTTCAAAAATTGTATTACAAGATACAACTAATGAGAAATGTAATGTAGAGTTGCAAAGATCTGAAAATGAAGAAGAAAGAATTATCCAGAATAGACAGAAATTATTTGAAAGACATCAATCAAAAGGAAAAAAGCAAGATAAAGTGTAAGCAAATAATATCAAAAGACATTAGAATTAAGTTTTATTTTTATAACAGTTTAATAAATTTAAATAATAATTTGTGATTGTATATTTAGAAAGAGTCCCAAACCTGTAAAAGATAAATCAAAACAACCAAGAGTATGGGAGCTGAGTGGAGCAAAAAATATTCCCACTCTAGACTTCAGCAAGAAGGATGCAAATGAAAGTAATGGAAATATGAACAAAGATGATTTCTTATCTGATGAAACAGTAAGTATTTCAATTTACACTCTATTTTTAAAACCCTTTTTAAATAATTTAAAAATGTTACAGAGAAGCTGGGTTGGTAAAATGAAAGGCAATGTGCAGGGTATGGAATATTCTAGTGAGGAAGAAAGTGATGAAGAGGAAAAAACTGTCCAATCCAAATCATCTAAGTAAATGTTTGATTTGAATCTATTTTCATTTTATATAAAAATTTACATTATTCTTATTAAAAGAATTTAAATATTAACAGGAAAAGTAAAGCTGGTGGTGTTTTCAGCATGTTCCAGAGTCTAGTAGGATCAAAAAGCATATCTGTAGAAGACATGAAACCCATATTAGATAAACTGAAAGATCATATGATTGGTATTTTATCCATTTTATATAAAATTTATCAATTTTAAATATCACTTTACATGAAATTTATACAATTCAGCCAAAAATGTTGCCACGGATATTGCTGAGAAACTTTGTGAATCTGTATCTGCTAAATTAGAAGGAAAAGTACTTGGTACTTTCTCAGGAATAGCATCTACAGTTAGAAATACCCTAACTGAATCTCTTATTCGATTGCTTTCTCCAAAGAGGCGAATAGATGTTCTCAGAGACATTATGGAAGCTCAAACTCAGCACCGTCCATATACTATAGTCTTTTGTGGAGTTAATGGAGTAGGAAAGTCAACTAACCTTGCTAAGGTATTTGATTTTTGAAACTTTTTTTATAGGAATGGATTTTTATTTATAAAACAGTATATTTCAATAATTATCAATACTTGTTTAGTTTATAGATTTGAAATAGATGCAAACAGTTAACAATAACTTCCATTAAATTGATTGTATTAAATGACAATTCAGTCGATATATGAAATGTATTTTGCAATTTAATTATATTAGATTTAAACTTTTTACTAATACTTTACTATAATTTTTAATGTAATGCAATCATATTGGGATATACTAACTAAAGTACAATCTATTCAGTGCTGTCTAGAAAAATATTTAGCATTCTAAATGTAATCAGTTCTAGATGTGGTGACATTTTATGATATGAATACAATTTTGTTTAAAAAAATTAATACTGAAATGCACCACTATAGCAATTTTTGTAATTCAAGTAACAAAAAGATAGTTTTTATTTGCATAAACATGTGTTACACCAGGTTCTGGGTATAAAAGTGGCCATAATTGTTGAATGTCATTTTTATTAGTTACAATGATTATCATCTTGTTATAAAGTATATTTCTTGTGAATCTGTTTTATGAAAAGAGTGGCAATGCTTTGGCTGTGCTTCAAGAATTTCATTGTCATTAGAATTTACTCCAAGACATTTATTGACTGACTCCACAAGCTCTCAGGAGAAATGATTATTTGATTTGAGAAAACTGGCTATCTCTGAGTTTAACTTGATCGAGAGTACAAACCTAACACTTCATAAGCATTGAAGATGTTACTACAGCTATTGTTGTTAATGTTGCAGACTTTAATAGTGCATTGCAGTATCACAGTAGTTGGTGTATTCTTTGGTTCAGTGTGAAAGATACTAAGAAAGTTGATGCATTGTCATGTCATCCATATAGGATCAGCTACAACCAGAAGTTGTTTGACATTGATGGGGAAATTCAACTGACCTTTGTATTAACCTTTCTTGCCAGAATGGAAGGGGATGTACAGTCGACCCCCCTATAATTACGGTCCCAATAATTACGATTCCTATAAAACTGCAAAAAAAATTGTGACAGTATCCGTAAAAGACAGTAAAAAAAACCCCTATAATTACGTTAAACGTCATCGGGCAGCCGAACTACTTTCCTGCCGTCCGTAGCATCACGCTACGGAGAGATTTCTATCGTCTGGACAGTATTATATAAATTATATATAAATTAGGTACTGTACATATAATTATATATTAATTATATATAAATTAGGTACGGTATATATAATTATATATTAACTTATTGTAACTTTGTTATAATTAAATATATAATTTCCGCCATCTAGCGTGGCGTCACGCTACGGAGATTTTTACGCTAACTATCATCTGTACAGTATGTAAATTAGGTACCATAAGTCTAATACAGTACTGTAATTTTATACATTTCTTGTGAAAGAAACATTTCTTATTCAATGGCGATTTAAAATTATTTATATTAATGATGTCTCCGAAGTTCAACAAAGTTTTCGCAGAAAAATAAGTTATCAGAAATCAGCCATGGTTTGGTGTGCTGCTTCGCGACAAAAACAAGCTTTAGCAATGGGGTTGTCGAATGGTGCATACTCGGTAAGTAATCCTACAATTTTTTGTTTATAGCGTAATTTATACGGATTATTTCCAAAAAATATATACGTATTTTGGAAATGTTGAGTCTGATTAGTCTAGAATCGATTAATTTTATGGAAGAAAACCTTTCAATCAGCCGTAGTCCATAAACTTTACACGTGTCAGGCTGTGATTGGAACGACTTGTAAGAAATCGGATTCCTAAAAAATGGAACGTATCTATGATCTTATAGGGGGGTCGACTGTATTGTGGCCATGAAAGATCCTATGGAGAAACAAGGAATCATCTCATGGAACAGTTACTATACCTAACTGTTGCATTTGGACCATGGAAAACATGAGCATTTTCCAAAAGATTTCACTGAGCCATATTTATCTTTGGATCATTCTTCTTTGAAGAAGCTAGTCTTGATGGGCTTGTGACATACTCTATGACAGCCCAGAGATATCATGAGATGCTTAACACTCATAACCCAACTGCAATAGTGACATTGCCTTAAATCAACCACTTTTGTGCAGTACAGTATGCCTTAATGTATTGTGTACAGCAATTTGTCACATTTCACTGATAAGAGTGATTAGTCATTTGTTATCTACTACTTTGCTACTTCATTCTCTGGTTCTTAATATATATATAGCTTTTGATTGTGGGAACACTTAAAAAATTATGGTTTATTGAGGATATGTTGAATAAGCATATGAAAAGTTTTCCTAAACCAAACTAAACTTTTTGTGTATATCATTCCCGTTTGCACATAGTGTAGCAATTTTCAGGTCTTTTTCCCCTTTTTGTTGTAATAGAAACTGAGTAAAAAATAATTTTTAGTCTTCAATTTTTCTTCACTTTATGAACACTTTTAAAAAATTTTTTAAACTATGGTATCATTTTACATCTGAAAAAAATTTTAAAATTTTTAGTGAATTCCAAATCAAAAAGAAATTTAAATACATCTTTCTCATCTGAAAATTTGACAATACTCTGTCCATTTTTATTTTTCTGCAAATGTTTCCAAAAGCTGATTAAAAAAATGTTTAAGATTTGAACAATAGTTAAAATTTGAATTTTCTTTTTTAATAATCATTAATTTTGCATAAATCTTGTACAAATAAAGTTTTGTTGCTTGCAATGCCAAAAATGCCATAGTGGTTTCGGTACAAAAATTTTTTATGAACATGTTTTCTGCATGTTACCATACCAGATTTGGTGTCATTTGAACTGTTAAATATCTCTGTAGACAGAGTTGAATAGAGATACAGTAGAGCCTCGATTATCCGACTCAATTGGGGACTGGGGTTGGTCGGATAATTGAAAAGTCGGATAACCGAAAAGTATGAAAAAATCCATTATTAGTGTAGTATATTATTATATCCCATGCAATTAGTATATTAGTATATCGCTATTAACCTACTTTGCGTTGAATTTTCATCGATGTTAAGCCTAACAAAAATTTTTTAAAATAATAATTGTCGCTATTGTATTGTAAAAAAATTAGAAAATTAAGCCTCGTTTAAATACTGGCTCCCTTTCATGGTCAAATGAGTGTTGCCAGCTAAAACACGTAAAAATAATATTAAAATAGCCAAGACATAGCCAAATATTACAGCGCCACATCACTAGCGGACATTTGAAATTTGCCAACTGGAACGGTCGGTTAACCGAGGTGTCGGTTAATCGGGGGTCAGATAATCGAGGCTCTACTGTACTTTAATTATCACCTGGTATATATCCAATAATTTTTGAAGAAACAAATTTAACATTTTATAACAACAATATTGTTGTTATAAAATATTACATTGTTATAAAAGGATCATGAGTGAATATAGTTGAAAATATTTGATTTATGTCAATAAACTTTGATTAAAATTATTACTGTTCTACACAAATTTATTCATTGAATTCTTGATTTGTGTGAAATAGTTAAAATATCTAATCTATATTTTTTTACAGATATCAAATATTAGATTTTATGCAATCTTAGTTATCTTATTTTATCATATTAACTGAAACTTTAAAAACTCATAATACTCGTTTTGAGTTTCAAGAAAATATATTTCATCAAACATATTTTAAATTATATCACTTGTTACAATTTCCTATAGAATGTAAAAATAATTACTTTTGTTCTTGTTGATTTGGCATATTGAAGAAAATCAAAATTTTGAAAATTAGTTATATTCATTTTATTTTTTTCAACAGTGCAATTTATATAGCTATTATTCTTCTAATAGCTGATTAGTTCATTTGTTTATGCTTGTTATTGAGTCTAACCTCCAATTGTGTAAAACAAAAATTAAGTGTAAATCTAGTTTTTATTCACGGAAACTTAAATGTCATTTAATGAAAAATAAAGAAATTGCAAAAGTAAAATGGATGGTGATGCATTTGTTGGTTATCTGTAGTTATGGCAAATGTTAATAGTTGTAATGATTTTTAAAAAAGTAAATGACAAAAACAATGATTCTATAGAAGCATAAATTATTTCACAATTATGGAAGGACAATGTCACATATAATTTTAGCATTTATTTTTAAACATTTTTCAGTGAACATATATTTAAAAATTTAATTATATTCTGTTTCTACATTATTTTACATATGGATTCTTTAGATGACAGATTATAAAATTAATCTCTACATTTTTCTCTCTGATTTCAACTATTACTGTAAACTGTTGAGATAAAAGTATTAAAAATATTAATGAAAACATGAAAGCTTGTGACAAAAATCTTGTTTGTTTGAAAGTAATGTTGGTAGAACTAATTGTTTTTAGTACCTAAAAAACTGTTTCTAGTTTAATGATATATCTTTTTTTTTTATGGAATATTTTATTCAATTTTTATCATATTTCAGATAGCTTTCTGGTTGGTGGAAAATAATTTTCGTGTACTGATTGCTGCTTGTGATACATTTCGTGCAGGAGCTGTTGAGCAGCTTAGAACTCATACAAAGCACTTGAATGCTTTACATCCTCCTAATCAGAACCGTTATTCAGTGCAGTTGTATGAGAAAGGATATGGAAAAGATGCTGCAGGAATTGCTATGGAAGCCATAAATTATGGTAATAGAAAAATTTCAAATTTTCATTTACTTTGTGTAGAGATGTATGAATGATTTTTTGTTTTTTTTAGCAAAGGATATGAAAGTAGATGTTGTCCTGATTGACACAGCTGGTAGAATGCAAGATAATGAACCTTTGATGCGAGCCTTAGCTAAGGTAAATTTATTAAATACCACAATCATTGGAAAACTTTCTTAATTTTCAAATCATCTTTTTGTATTGTAGAATATTGATTGTCTAAATTAAATATTTAATTTGTTGTTAATTAAAAATTTTTCCTAGTTGATCAAAGTAAATTCTCCAGATCTGGTGCTATTTGTTGGAGAGGCACTAGTAGGGAATGAAGCTGTCGACCAACTAGTAAAGTTTAATAGAGCTCTGGCTGATCATTCCAGTCAAGAAAATCCCCATTTAATAGATGGCATTGTTCTAACAAAATTTGATACAATAGATGATAAGGTAAGCATGAAGTATAAATTTTTAATTAGCATGTTTTATAAACTCATGTAATCAATTCTCATGCAGGTTGGAGCAGCTATATCTATGACCTACATCACTGGTCAGCCCATCATATTTGTAGGAACTGGACAGACCTACACAGATCTAAAAACTCTGAATCCCAAAGCTGTAGTGCATGCCCTGATGAAATAATTTTACCAATTTGCACTTTTAAATTATTCACTTTCGGTCATTGTTACCAATCCCAAGTTTCAAAAAGACAACCACTTAATTTCACCCCGGAGTCTGTTTTACTCCATTATCATGATACTTAATGTAATCTAACATGGGTGAAGGGATTATTAGGCGGTTATAAACTACTAAAATATCCAAATTCCAATATTTTCTGGAACTGTTACAAAATGTAATAAACATTATTTCAAAAAGATGATGCCTATGTCATTCTTACCACTAGTAGATCCACATTAAACTAACAATAAAATCAGAGTGGGAAAAGTTTAAAATAAGTATGTGGAGTATGGAAAATATTTTTTCTGATTTACATATGTGTGTGCATGCAAATCTTGCTTTAATATTTCAGAAATTCATTAGTTTAATTTGTGTATATCTAAAATAAAAATACTAAGAAAGTACAATCTCATCAAAAGTTTTGTTGGAATAGGTTATAAATTGTTCATTCACAACAGTAACAAAATGTAAACAATAATTAGAAAATATAAACAGCAACTTTACAAGCATATGGTTCACAAAGGTTACTCAGGCAAGATTTGAAAGTAGTTCTATTTTTTTTTCTGCTCAATACAAAATGCAATTGTAGTCTATAATATTTAGATGTAAGAGGTTCAGATTTACATTTGTGAATAGTTTGATTTCTAATGTATTCACATTATTGAATTTATTTGGTTAAATAGTGAAATCTTCTATACAGTTTAAAAAGATAATGAATTTTAGCAACAAAATTTCTAAATTGTATTAATTAATTACTAGTTTAAATGACATTATCAAATATTTGCCAGAATTTATTATAAATGGGAACCCAGTTGGAAGGAAATCAATGAATCTATGACAACTATAGTAAATGTATCATTTCTCAGTTAGTTCATTACATTTCTAATTGCAAAGAGAACATGAAGAAAACAAAAGATAGGTGTCATTCAAAGAAAATGTGAGAATGATGGATGATCATAAAAGTTACATAAAATCTTGGAGATGAGGAAAGTGAAAGTTTAAAACGAACAGGGCAGAAAAGACAGCAATGCCTGATATTCACAGTAGAGGTGGGAGCTCAGTTCTGCTGCTGGAACTGGAACTGATCAGTGTGTGCCTAGTCCAACTGTTCTGATGGAACTGTTGGACTAGATTAGGGGTGGGCAATTATTTTTTTCAACGGGCCACATGAGAAACCCGAGCTGTGTTAGAGGACCAAACAAACAATAACCTGAACTAACTACACAGTATATTCAATATTAATTTTCTCCAACTGTAAAGAGCCATAAATTATATAATTTTGATTATAGTACTGGTAATTAAAAGACTAAGGATATTCTTTTACAATAAAGATATAAAATTGTGGAATAAGTCAAAAATACAAGTCAAACAGGAAAACAATAATTTATATCATTGTTTCATTTTTTCAACACACAACTCAGAATTACTGAATAGTTGTTTTGCAAATGTAAGCAATTAATTAACTTAATATAAAAAGCAATAAGTCCTTTAGATGTCTTTCAGTTTACTTTTTCTCATTTGGTGAGAAAAATTAAATTATTTTGGGCTTCAACAAGTGCATCAAAATTGGGTCAGAGGTGAATATGCAAAGCACAGCTGAGAGGTGCACATCAGTGATAGAGGATCTGTGGATTTGTTGAACTTCGGCACTGAGAAAGTCTGTTCACATACATGGGTGGATCTAAAGAAGACTAGAAACTTCTGCGCATGCCATCTCATGGCAAAAGTTCTCCTCTTCCAGAGAAGAATAAAATTCAAGCTGCAAGATGGACCTGAAGTTGCTCTTCCAGAAGGGCATCAGACTGCAGGTCAACAAGCTCAAGCTGAACATCTCTGGGTGCATTATTCACATTTGCATGTAAATGGGGAAGAAATCACGTGCATTTCATTGTCAAAAGTTTTAAAGTGTTGAATAGTTGAAAGTTGTAAATTCCCCATGCAGAGTGTCTTAGCACAGATGAGTACACATGGAGGTGGTCTGCGGAAGGTGCAGCTTCCTTCGTTATGGCAGGCAGGCAAGAACGCTTTCATTTAGTTGGCTCGAGAGAGGTTACAACTTTCTCATAAAAGCCTTCACCAAGCTGTATATTTTGTGCACAGAAGGTCCTTGCACTGCAATTTGATATTTAGTTGATGTGATTGCACCAATATTCATTAGTGCAATCACATCAACTAAATATCAACAGCAAAATCAGCTCTGCAGTCCAGCTAGCATATGACAGCTGTGGGATACAACCGATAATCTGTTCAGCATCAAAGGAGAAGAAGAGAGAACGAAGATTTGTGCATGGTGATTTTACAACCATTCTACATGTCTGTAATTAATTCAGTGCGCAAGTCAGTTTGAGTAAAAGACTGGAGCTAAAAATACTGTTCAGGTTTCAAATTAAAGCTCTTGTCCTGAAGGCGAATGATGCCGCAAACTAGAGATATGAGAAAGATGCAATGGTTCGGGAGCGGTGAAGGTGCAATGTGAAGTCTATGGGACAAACATGTTGGGTGTTTGCATTCTATCTAGCAGATTAAGTTTTTTTTAAAACAGAACAACCCATTACTCATTTTCCCTCCTGAATTCCTATCTTTTAAATTCTGCATTAATTAAGACTTTTTCCATTATTTTTTAACAATAAATTTAAACATTGCCATTTTTATTTTAATTATTTAAATAGTGTAAATCACTTTTGTTTTCGAACTAAACTCTTTTAATTTTCCAAATCTGTAATTAAAAGTATTATTAAAATAAACCCATGTACTTTTTGACACTAAAAAGACTAAGTTTTTTTTTCTTTTTTAAATAGAAAACGAACCTTCTGTTTTTGTTTTAAAATATTTAATATGCAATTAATTACTTTAATACAAGATATATAGGTAGTTTGCAAAATAAGATAGATTCACAATTCATCATAAGTTATAAATTTTGGTCTTTGGTCAAAACAAAATTTAATAAAAAAAAGAGTGAAAATGAAAATTTTGAGGATAACGAGCGATTANTTTAAATATCTGTTTATATTCTACCGCGCATATTTTTATTTAAATATCTGTTTATATTCTACCGTTGCTATCATTCCAAATTTGCTATTTAAGATTGGAATGTTTTTAAAAAATTTTGTATTCAAAAAAGGTTCTAATGACCTGAAGAAGACGAAAGTGTATATCGTCGAAAGCGCTCGTCAATTTAGTGACATAGGTGTCTAATTTAACGCTTATATGTTAAAAGTTTTTGTAATAAACGATTAGCGTGCTGTCCATTATCAAATTATAAACCCATGTACTTTTTGACATTAAAAAGACTAAGTTTTTTTTTCTTTTTTAAATAGAAAACGAACCTTCTGTTTTTGTTTTAAAATATTTAAACATTTTCTGTATACTTTAATACAAGATATATAATTAGTTTGCAAATTTCGAATTTGACACAATTCATCATAAGTTATAAATTTTGGTCTTTGGTCAAAACAAAATTTAATAAAAAAAAGAGTGAAAATGAAAATTTTGAGGATAACGAGCGATTACTTATTGTGTGATCGTCACAATGACGGGCTGCAATTTTTAATCATTTTAAATTTATTTAACTTAATGCGGCGAGCATATATTTTAATAGTATTTTAGTCGTATGTTGCCCCTGTACATCATACTTTGCCTTTAGATAGACGACCGGCGCGACTATTGATAACACCTTTCAAGGGAAAATTTTTAAAATGAAATAACTTCCGATGCAAACCGGAAGTCACAGTATATTGTTAATCTGTTTCCATATTTGTTCTCGAGATTAAGGACGGACGAACAACAGTGGGAATTTAGATCTACGATTTTTTCAAATTGCAGCCCAAATACACTGTTTTCACGGTTACGTCTTCCGGACGTAAAGCGATCCGGAAACGATCTTTGCAGTTCCGTTTTCGTTTGCCATCGTTGCGCCCGTGTCCGAGAACGTGTTTCCGATAGAAAGAAGGCGTCAGAAGTCGCGGTCGATGGACTCCAAACGACGTAACAGTCGATGCGGAAGATCCCAGCAATTCTTAATTGGCAGAACGGCACTCGAAAGACGGTCGAATTGCGTTTGTTCGACCTTCGCAGCTTATATACAGGAGCGACGAACAGTCCGGATCGTTACGGAAACGTCACGCGTTGCGCCATCTGTCGGTAATTATCTGGTGGATACGTTTCTATAGCAACGAAGAGGAATCGGTTCTCGAAACTTCCGGCATTTACGGGAAGGACGAGCCGTTTATTTAGAAAGAGAAAAACATTGTTTGTTGTCTCTCGTTTGATAAACTATTATTTAAATTACCGATGCACGAAATAAAGATTATGGTTGTGGTCACGGCCGGCGTGACCTTTTACAGGCCCCGGTTCAAAAATTTTGCGGGGCCAGAATACATTCAAATCCTGCACTTAAATTTCACAATAAGGAATTATTATAAGTACAATATTACTAATTTTAACGTCGAAGACGGTAGCAATGGCTGATGCATCTTTGTTTAATTAAAGTCACACAAGACATTCTCTGCAATGTCTTTTGGTTCTGTTCCAGAATTTGTAAATTTTCGTATGAAAATGATATAAGGGTAATTATAAAGTCTGTAATATCTGTAATAAAGTCTTAGAAATAATTTGATGTCAAATCAAACCAAAGTCACATAAAATTATTACCTTTTAAATTGTTCCAAACTGTTTTCAACCGGTTATTACGGTAATAAATCAAGATTAACTCTTCGAATTAACCATTGATTTTTACATCACACTATAGGAGAAACCTGATTTGCTGGCACTGCATCTGCTAATATGTGCATGTCGTCCATTTTTACATTCGAATCAATGGAAACGTTTGGCTTTGTTCGGCACCTTTAGGCAACGGGCTCCGTGCCTGAAGGTGGCCCACCCTTCAGGAGTTTAATTTTTGATTTTTTAAACTTTTCGCGGTAATATGACGTAGTGCTCCAATGCATTAAAATTAAACAAAAACATATTTACAGGATATCAATTAATTTTAATGGGAAGTTTGAAAACCAGATGTTTCAAACTTTTTTCCAGGATTGCATATATAAAAGCATTTTAACTTGAATTTAACAAAAAGTTTACAAGTTTAACATGCATAAATCATTTAAAAAACGCGGATAAACGAGAACGTATACAGCGAAGTTCACCAGAATTGTGCACTAAGTGATAGCTGCGAGGAAGAGGTAGTCAACCTTCTACCGTGTTAACGCTCTGAACACACATGAAATTTCCCTAAAATTAGCAGAGTTTTCTCTTAATAGCGTTGCTCCACATATCAAAAAAACTATAGGTATTTCGACAATCCAGAGAAAAACAGATTTTCACGTTAGGACGTAGGCGCTAGGGCACAGCTGTGGTTTTCTGTGTTAGCACTGTTTGTTAGGACTAAGACAGTTTGAGTTAAAGCCACAGTTTAGCAAAAGCATCGTGTGATAACAATTGTATATTTATGTAATAAACGGTCATATCTGTATTATGTATATCCAGCAGGTTTATGCCTTTTAAGTGTCATGGCGGAAGCTTCAAAGATGGCGGCCCGGTTCGGGATCTGGTAGTCATATGTC